ATAAATTTGATTCACATTATAAAATTAAAAATTCTGTTGTTTTCTCTAGTTTAAATTATTTATTCATAACCGGTATATTAATATCAAATATTCTTTATTCATCTCTTTTATATTAATTCATATTATTTATCAATTAATAAATCATAAGGAAGTTATTTTTGTATTAGAAGACTATACAGAATTTATATTTTTATAAATGAACTATGCTTATTTAAGAATGTAATATCCTGTAAAAACTATACATATGTATTCGAAAAATAAGTAGGTAGAATACTGTCGAAGATAAAATTCAATGTAAAACACTTATAATATTATAAATAAATTTATATAATCTGAGATATGAATTATAAAGAATTAATCAGCAAACACATATTATATATTGTAACATTTACCATATGAATCATGATATATATGCATAATTATATATCTATTTATATATAATACTTCTAGCTATATTATATTTTTAAGATATGTTATATATTTATATAAATAGATATCTATTATATTTTATGCAATATATAAATAATATTATTAAATTAATGTATTAGAATTATTTTTAAAGATTAGTACTAAGTTTTAGTGGGTTAAATTTTATTATAAAATATGCATTATATTTTTATTTCATTCTAATATATAAATGTAAGAACGAACTAATTATTAAATCTAACATTTCATTACTGAATTAAATATAATATCCAATAACTTGTTATAACAAAAAATATGTATTTAAGTATTATAAGTTTACAAGATACTAAATATCTTTGTTCATATAATCTATTTTTATTCTATTAAATTATTCCACTGTGTATCACGAATAATTGTTATTAAATCAAATAAATGATTCGATTAATTTCATGCAATTATCTAATTTAAATTTAAAATTTGCAATTTGAAAATTCGAATTGCCTCTTTTAAATAAATTAAAATAAAAAGATGTAAATAAATGAATATTGTGTGGTATTTACTCGATTAGAATTTACACAATGTTTCATCGTTTTTGGGATCATGGAATATGAAACTATACACGCTGTTATACTTAGTGTCACAGTGACACTTAGTGTTACATTTAGTGTCACAAGCATAAACATAAACTCCATTATATCTTTATAGTATACTTGCTTATATTTAATTTGAAGAATTATTCAAAATATATCTCTGACTCTTAATATTTTAATAAATAGAAAAATAGGCGTGATATTTTCATGGTACATTTTCATAAATGTTAGTTTTTATTAAAATAGAGTTTTTATAGTTAACTAGTTGTTAATTAGTTTTAATACAAATAAATTTACTTTATCTTGTATAGTGAGACCTGTTAGAACATTTAAAATATAATTTTCAATTATATTTCACGAAAATATTTCTGACTTTCCTATTTATCTTTATTTTTTTTTTTTTTTTTTTGTTATTTTTTATTTATATTATTCTTTATATATTTTTTGTTATATCTTTATTTATATTATTCTTTGCAATTTACTTTTTTTGCGAATTCTGCAGTTGTATCATTTTTAATATTACCCTGTTTCTCTTTAATATTTATAATTTACAATGTACGAATTGATTTATTTTTATTCTATTCTTATCAGTTTCTCATTAAATAATAGTATCTTGTAAATTTTATAATAAAATGGATAATTTCATAAAGATAAATAATTATTAATAAAAATGATTATTAAATTATTAATGTTTATCTAAGTTATATAATGAACATGAACAAGATTTTAATTAAAATATATCATAACTATGTTTTATTTTATTTAGTAAAGTATTATGCGCAGGCATACAAATTATATAATATTTAATAAATGAAACAACAATTAAATAAACTAAACAGCAATTTTATTACAATTTTCTTGAAGAAGAAGATTTGCAATATTTTTAACAAATATATAATTGAAATAAAACTGTTGAGTCTTATAGATAGTTAAAATATTTAGTATATTATAATTATTATCGGTACACATTTTCTGTTTAAATTAACTTTGTGAAGATTAGAAATTTCTTTAAAATCATTATTGCTAAGATAAAGTGTAATTTGAATGAAAATTTTTTTCATTATAAATATCATTACACTGTAAGATTAAAAATAAATCATAGATTACAAAAGTAATTAAAATCATAAATTATAATAGTTATAATAGTATTTTTGAAAGCAAATATAATTTATTTTTTATCTCATTATATTTATAATTATAATTCTATTTTTATTATATCATTATATTTATTTATAGCGTTATAATTTTGTAATTATATATCAAATATAATTTACAAAGCAAATTCGGTAATTGTTTTGATTGAATTTCAATTAAATCCATGTATCACACTGTGCCAGCTAATAAATATTTGTAATTGTATATCATTTACTGTATTTAACGATGCTCTACATTAAGAAATCGCTCAAGAAATTACCTAATATGCATTACGTAGAATAGTATACAAAGTCATCCAAGTCCAATAAGTTTCTCGGTGTTTCTGCGCAATCAACATTAAGCAACTACTTTTATCCATTAATAGGTATGCTTTAATTATTTCAACTATATCCTTGATGAGGAATTCCACATACTACAATTATAAGGAAAGATACGTTTTTATATTTGAAGATATATAGATAAACGAATTTTTGTTAAATTTTTATTTACATTTAAATTGCGATTTATTTAACTTGTAGATCTATGATATAATTTGTATCGTCTACTTAAAAATATGTAACATATTTTTAATATAATTACAATTACATTATTATTTTTGTAATAATCTGAAAAAAATCGTTATAAATGTTTATTATGAAGCATTGAGAAGTTATAAATTGTTTTGAATAAGAAACTGCTAATTGCTTGATATGATATTAACTAAGAAATATGTTATTGCTTGTAGTAAATAGTTTTTTTTAAGTGTATAAATTAAATTAATCAACTCACTCGTTATCATAAATTATAAACAATGTCGAATGATTATACTTTTCATTAATAATACATAAATAGCATGTTGATATTTTTTAAGATTTCTGTAACTGTAAAATTGTAAAATTAACTATCATTACTTTATTAAAAAAAAAAAATTTTTTTAAATCAATACCCATTATTCAAAATTAATGAAGATTTACTGTATTAAAACAATATATTTTGTCATGAATTTGTATAATATGTATCTTTACATTAAGCAGAAAAATATTAAATTATAATATCAATTTATCATTTGGAAATCTTTTGATAATAAATAATTTATAATATTTTATAAAATACTAAAATGAGTTCTTATTTTTTTTTTAAGAATTATTATTGTAATTGCAATTCTTATCAGATTAAATTCATGTCGTTAAATACTTTTGTTCAAATTTTGTATAATTAATTAATGTACGAATTATATTTTCCTTATTTAGAGAAATGTATATAGATTTATTTATAGTTGGATACATTAGATATATATTTTTTTTTTTTTTATAAAATAGAAAAGCGATCAATAAATTAAATTATAATTGATATTAAATTATTAAAAGTTGCTCATTCGTGTTGAAAAGTATATTGTAATATCAACTTTTAAATCATTTGAACAGAAATTCTTCTCGAAATAATTTGTAAATAAAATATTACCTGTCAGAATATAATTATTTTCTAAAGTATGAGATAATAAGAAAATTTATTTTAAATGAATTTATTGTATTAATACTAATATTAAATATATATTATTTATAAATATATATAATTCGGACAATAAGGCAGAAAGCTAAATCAACATTGCTCTAGGGAATAATTTTTTAATAATTTTTTCAGTAACATTTTAATATATAAAAACGGTTACATATATACGAGCTATAATTTAATCAAACAATTACACAAAACTGCATTACCTTTGCAAAAAGCTTGAAAATGCTCATTTTCATTCAAATTAACTAATCTACTCTAATGTATTTCTTGCACTGTACGCTGTGACATTCGAACCCAACGTCTGCCCGGCTAATGGTTTTATTACTATAAGCCGGACGGACTTCGATAGTAATCATTCGAAGAAGGACACTATCCTTTTTTGCTTTACGGCTTTGCCTGTTTTAATCAAGGACATTTATTCGACTTAGGACTTGAAGCTATTACAAATTATTTGTATATGAAAAATGTAAAAAAAATGGGTGCGGGGGGGGGGAGATAGTATGAACATGTGGTTCCGTTGCGCACTATAAAGGATTAAAACAGGCTTAATGCAGCTATTGAATTCTTTAATTCTTTAGTTCTTTAATCTTGGTTATGCTTTTGTTACTTTTCTAAAATCGTATTTTTCTGTTTTAGAAACATTGTAGGTTAGATCTTAATATGCCTACGTAATTTATTGGTTTATATTAATTTAACAATTATATACGTACATGTTTATAGTGCATTGAGTATTTAAGTTGGACGTGAAAAAATATTGAAATATTGCAATTGATTATAATTTGTTTTTAATACATATTGTATCGAGTATTATTTGTAGATTTTTTAAATGTTAAATTACTTTTTATGATATATTAAAAAATATTTGGTTTATTATTTTGCATTTGTCGAAATTTTTCAGGAATATATTGTCCTGAAATCTTATGATTTTATATTTTTAATCAATTTCATGTGTTTGATTCTTAATATTTGATTTTCTTGAATATGCTTATGAAAGTGAAATTAATCAACACAGGCAATGCAAAAAGTTGAAGCCAATTTATGAAATAAAATTATAATATAAACAATGCAATGTTACCATTGTAATTGAAATATAGTATTTTTATTAAATCAAATGGCTATATAAATTGAATGGCTCTTTATATTTATTTTTCTTTAAGCAAAAATCTATCCATCTTTATAATTTATCATGTAAAAATGCTTGTTATATGTAAAAATCGAAACTGTAGGATACGTGAGTACTGACAATAAAGTAAAATCAAATTACTTTTTGTTCGTTTCAATCTTATGTATTTAAAAATAGTTTTTATTGTAAAATTTATCAGAAAATAATTTTTACATGATACTTTGTTTTTACAGGAAAATGCCAGCTCTGAAATTATTTGGTCGAAAATGGCTTACTGCCACAGATGATCTCGTTTATCCTGGACTTTTCGAAATATTTATTAGAATTATATGGTAAAAACTTTTCATTAAATTTCTTATATTTTATAACAATGTATGAAAATTAAATGCATTTATCATTTAAAATTAATAAAATACATCTTATACATTGTAAAGCTACAAACATTTATTTTAAGCAGGGAACGTTCTATGTAGTAATATAAAATAAATAAAAAAAAAAAAAAACTACCAATATTATTTTGTTGAATTTTCTTACATGAATTATTTGAACATCGTAATTAACTCTTCGTAAACCTTAATAAAATCAATGCTGTGTATGCAGCAGCATGCTGATATCCAAGAATTAAAAATTTTCTTTTTCTTTTTAAACATCATATCTAATAAGACTCGGGCAAAGAATCATATCTACTAAGAGCTACATTCGAAGCTTACAAGACCGTTACCAACGTAATAGTATGTTTACTGTATTAAAATTTAATTGATGATTAAGCTTTTCTTTGTGATACAATATAAAAGTGCCCTCTACAACTACTAAATCATAAATATGATGCACAGTTTTATTATACATCAACGATACTGTATAATTTTGAGAAGCAGGAACTTCAGTTTTTTCACTTAACAATAGTCAAAAGTATCGCAGCAATAAATTATAAAAATTATTCAAAAACTAGTTTTATATATTTCTTTAAACATTAACATTTTTTCTATTATTATTTTTCATTTTTAAGAAATTTATATATTGTTTTTTTACAAAATTTAATTGCAAATTAAGTTAATACATTTATTTTTTATATTCTACGTAACAAAATGTATAAAAAGTCTTTTCTATTGTTGCTTCTGTTGTTACTTCTGTCACTACTCTCTTATTGTATTTTGTTATTATTAAACACATAGTTTAAATTTAAATTTATTTTAATTCTGTTTTATTATTTTTTTTTTTATACTTTTTTTTCTTTAAATAATTTTTAATTAAGAGGCCAGCGTATGAAATGATGTAAAAATAATGGAAATATTGGCAAAGTGCAATAAAATTTTATAAAAAACTTTTACTCACATAATATTATGTAAAAGCTGATTTCAGAATAACAAAAAAAATGTTATCGAGGATTGTCGATTGGTTAAAAATAATAATTAATGAAAAAGTACTTCAATTTGATATAATGTTGAACTCGCTATAATCAAAATAAATACGCTTATGGTTGCGATATTTAATCAATGCTCTAACTATGCTTTAAGCGAAATAAGCTTTTTAAATATATCAAACTTATTGTAATTATTTATATGAAATTGATGTTTTTAAATTAAATTATTTTGAGATTAAACTTTGAAATATATGATGATACTATGATTAAATAGAAATAAATAATATCTTTATAATATCAATACAAAAAGTAATTTTAAATACTATGATTCAGACAATCTATATTCAGATAATCGTTAAAAAAATATTCTTTAAATATTTTGACTGGTGTTGATAACATAACTTCAAAATAAAATGAAAACCAACAAATTTATATAAATTCCTAATAATATTAAGCAACGATTGATAAATGTAAGGAAGAATTGAAATTTTTCAAAAAAAAAAAAAAAAAAAAAAAAAAAAAAAAAATTGATACTTTCAAAATTATATTTTTTAAATATTTCCGAATTTATATCTATAAGAAAGGAGATAAAATATAGTCTAAGGTAATCTTTTCTTACAACAGGTTCGTGCTAATAGGAGTTGCTTGCCTAAGATATTACGCGGAAACATGGAAATGTCAATTGGGTGGAGATCTTGTAAGAGTCTTTCTAGTAGGAGAAATGACTATACTTGGAATTATTACAATCTTAATAGTTTTCATAGTGAATCATAGCGCGCGTGGCTCAATAACTGATACGTATGCACGTCGTTATGTACAGCCTCTTCTCACAGTTAAGTAAGTGAATGAATTCTTAGTAAAAATTTTTTTTTTTTTTTTTTTCATTTACATAGCAACAATTTGAATCGAATATATTGTATAATTAATTGTAATGTTAACCATTATAAATAATATATCATCTTAATGAGGAATCACAATAAAATCGTATTTTATATTGTGGAATAAACAAAAAAAAATTAAATGTTTACGTCTCATAGAAGAATTTGAAACACTTTATAATGTTACATAAAAAATTTTCAATACGATGTAACGAAATCCATAATACTAATTGAAGTTGAAGATGCGAAAGAAGCAATAATTTCAAATAAAAATGTCGTAAATATTTTGAATAAAATTAACTTGTATATCTAGATGAATTTGAATTAAACAGTAAAAGATCTATTTGAACTTTATCATTAGACTTGATATAATGAAATAAGCGTCAAGAAAAAAAAAAAAGAAAAAAAATAGAAAGAATTTGGATTGACAGAGTGCTGCTGATACCTCCAGAAATAGTATGGAATATCCTGGGCACACTATGGTTATTCAGCGATGGGGTGCACTGTAGCAGCGAGTACTATACGATCGGAGTTGTAGAGGCGCTCGTACTATTCGACTGGGTATTGATCGGTTTAACGATCCTTGGATTAGCATTGATCTTTGATCCGCTGGGATCGCTTGGCCTCCAGGATAACGAGCTGGAGGATTCGGTCGAGCACGGCAAGGTGTCGAGGATCTGGCTAAGGCGTTTCAAGTTTTTCTGGTGGATGAGGCGAGACGAGAGTGCCAACGAGACTTTTCAACATGTTGCTGGTGAGACATAGGTACATGCGGGTGAAACCGTGACCTTGAAATTTTCGCTATTATACGACCTTTATGAAAGATCGTTTTCTTATCACCAGGTCCATTCGCGTAGAATTATTTAATTGGTGTAGTTTTACAAATTGTCAGAGAATTGTGAATAATCGTGGATATTTAGAGGTAGCAGAGACATTAAATGGAGTTGCCATTGTATTTTGAGTTTTTCAATTACAATAGATGGCAATGACCGTTTAAATTTTATGATATTATAAAATTAAGAGAAAATTTATTGAGAAATATAGCATAGTAGTACGAATATTACTTAATTTGCTACTTTAAGCGATTACCCGTGAATAGTTGAAATAAAAAAATCACTTTGATTCATATTTTACAATACTCGATGTACGAACGAAATACGAAAGGTAATTATTTTATATTTATTTCAGGGTTCTTAAGTGCTCTTTTCCGTGGAACGGATTTGGTACCATCCGATGTTATGGCGGGATGTGTACTCTTAAGAGTCCGACAAAAACGAGAAACGCTTGAACTTAAACGATTGAATATTCTCGAGCGACCTAAATATAGTACTGGTTAGTATTTATTTAGTTAATCCAAACGAAGTAGGTATTATGGCAATTGTTTATAAATTGATTATTAATGTATGTTCGGCTAATTGATTCAATTTATTATTTAATAAGGCACTATACTAAATAATAATAGGAACGAATAACGGTTTATCAAAAGTTTTATAATTCAACGTAATCAAATTATAATTTGAAAATCACACGAGACTAGAGAGGAGTGATTTTTTTTTTTTTTTTTTTTTAATCATAAGAACGAGTGAGTACGTGGTTCAAAACCCTATGAAATTAATATGATATTAAGAATTCGAATGCAAACTAGAAAGTGCTTATTTATATAAAAAAAAAAAAAAAAAAAAAAAAAATTTTTAAACAGCAATGACAAATAATCCCGTACAAATTTATTATAAATAAATTAAAATGAAGTAAACTAATTTTAATTAATAAACTAAATGAAGAATTATTACAAATGCTTAGGATAAAAATATTATAATAATTATAGGAATAATAATAACAATAACAATAATAACAACAAAAATAATAATACAATCAAGTGAACGTATAAGCAAATTAATATACAAAAATATGAGACTTCAAAATTAAAACACCAAATTTAAATTATTCCAACTATCAACTAACATAACAAAGCCATATATATTTGTTCATTCAGTATTCATATTAAGTAAAATATTTAATTTTATGCAATATCTGAACTCCATAGAGATAAATAATGTAAATTTAATATTGTAAGAACGAGTCAGACAATTTTAAAGCAAATTTTATTTAAAACGTTTATTGAAAACAAAGCCTCGGAAAGTGGAAGAAAAAGTTCGACTGCTCTTACGAGATCGGCAACTCAGTTTTTCATGTAACACGATCGGCTTCTTTCAGTCGGAATCAACATATTCGCTGAAGCCCCCTCCTGGATGTCATTGGATTGGGCTCACCACTACATCCAACTCTCGATCGCTTCATACGGCTGGTTATTTGTTATTTACAGGCATGCCTGCACCGGCTGTTTTCGGCTTGTGCGCGAGATGACGTGTTGTGCGTGCTTACGGTATGAAGAACTTTTCGTCTCTTTGATTTTTCCTCTGTTCCTGTACTTGGCCGAGCGTTGTGTTCATTTATTTATTATTATGATTAAAATTGATTATAACCGCTACATAATCTCTTGTATTATTATTATCTTGTAATCGCAAGTTGAAGTATTAGCGATAAGTAATACATTGCTTAGCTTTATTTTAAATATCAAATTGAGATTTTAGATTAATTGTTTTCCAAAGCTTAGAAATTTATTTGGCTTCTTAAGGCTGTAGGAAATTAAAGTTTTCCCTCGTCTTAGAGATTAATACAATAACGAGTTCTATACGTTTAGCAAAAAGAGTATTTTGATCCGGGATTAATTAGTTTATAAGAACCTCATACGCTTACACATTATTAAATAATAAAACTTAATAATACGCATAAAAATAATGATGATACAATTGCTTACATTAAAAAGTTGAGATTATTATAAAGGAACTTGTTGTCATGATTCATGACAAGCACGGAATAAAAATTTTTACTTTTCTTCGTGGATTCTCATACATTGGCAGTTTTTATTAATTTTAAAATCAAGTGTGAATGGAAAATATGCAAGTGCTAAATGTGTCGTCCATAAGTTCCTAATTTTATATAATAAAGAAAGATTTCCCTCGGCATTTTTTTCATATACATTTAATCGAGTAAATAAAATTTCGTTCAATGAGCGAATCTTTAAAGTTGGAATTATTAACGGGCATATATATATATATATATATATATATATATATATATATTATAAGCGGTTTTGGTATTTTTAAAAACTTACTAAGCATAACATTTTCTATTAACGAAAGAACGATATGCAAAATCGACTACTATTATCATATATTTATACTTTTGCATTATTTAATATCAATTCAAAGACACAATGTGCCCCTAGAAAATATAAACTATTCTTTTTAACACAGAATAACAATATGACATTATTAACAAATTACTTTAAGAAGACCTTAAAATGAATTGTTCAATAATAAGATTTTTCAAATTTGTTGCAAATAATAAATTATTTTATTTTATATTTAATTTATTTAAGTATTGATAGTATTGAAAATGTAATAAATGAATAAATATAATATGCAAGTGAATAACATTTTTTTATTTATTTACTTTCTTTGTCGTTCTTTATTAAAAATTACTTTATTCAATAAAGTAAAATGTAAAAAGCTTTACTTTTAATATGAAAAGAATAAACTATTAAAATGATGATTATTTGTTACAATAAGTTAGAATAGCTTACGGCTATGGAATGAAAGTATTTTTTTTTTTTTTCATCTATTTTCAGGAGAAAGCGAAACATCATACTCGACGACAATTGTTGCTTGTGTAGTTTGTCGGGGGTAAAAACTCTTTCTAAACTCTCCGAGGACGACATACTTTTCGCGTCTTTTAGAAATCACTTGTGTGAGGTGTGTATAACAATATAAGACGTATATTTTAAACTTATGTGTCTAAATATGTAAAACTATCTAGCAATGAAACAATTAGTAAATTGAATCCATTGCATCAAAGTTTCAATTTAAATTGATAATACTTGAATTATTTTCTTAGTACTGCAATTGTAGATATTTCAAGGAACTGACCTTAATAACAGTAGCCGTGGTAGTTATATTTTTACTAATATTTGGTATAAATATATTTTAAACTTATTATTCGAATGATCGTACACCTATGTTAAATTAAATCAATAAATTGTTAATTGATTGAAAATTGATTTTTTAATCGATTCTGATTTTTAATTATGTAAATGTAATTCTTATTATCATAAGTTGTTCTTTAATATTTTAATCAAATACGTAAGCATTCACATAGGCAATAATGAACAGCGATTATATCAAATTTTCATCAATTCTACACTTTATTCGTGTAGATACCGTTTTGTGTACTGGCCGATCACAAAACATCGAGTATAGTAATTGTCATCAGGGGCTCTTTATCTTTAAGAGATCTTATTACGGACATTGCGGCAGCTTCAGACTTCTTTGAACCAGAAGGTCTTCCTCCGGGTAGCATGGCAAGTTCATACATTAATATTTTATTTTTTATCATGTTTTTATCATGATAAAATATAAAAAGACAAATTGATTTTACAATGACAGAAAACTTGAACGAGCCTTGTTTTATATAATATTAAAATTTATTAATCAATGTCATAAATTAAAATTACATATTTGTTTCATATTTAAATATTTTATTTATTTTTAATTATACAAAATTTAATACAAGTTTTGTGTGGCACATTTATATAAGCTTGTGCGACTATTGAATTAATCGCACAATATTATTAAAGAACGACAAATTCACTTGGTGATATATTGAAATATATTGATTTATTTTATAATTATTTTATATAACTTGCGCATGTTTATCAAAGAAGTATAACTCATTATATTGTAATTATATTTTAATATTTTCAGGCTCACAGAGGTATGATTGTAGGAGCAAAAGTGCTATTGAAACAATTAGATCAATACAAAGTTCTTGATAATGCATTTAAGATATATCCACATTACAATCTTACGCTTACAGGCAAGTTAATAAATAATATTATGTATTTCTATTACTTAATATTATTGTCTTATTTTTATAACATTTTTCAGGGCATAGTCTCGGTGCTGGATTAGCAGTGCTGTTAGGTACTTTAATACGACCCCGATATCCTAATTTAAGGGTTTACGCTTTTTCAACGCCAGGTATGCATTAATAAATTAAAAAAAAAATAACAATCATTTTATACGAACTTATCAAATGAAAAAAAAAAGAAAAAAAAAAAAAGAAAAAAAATCGTTACAATGAAACATTTAGACATTTATGATTTACAATAATGTCAATATTTTGTGAAATACAATAGTTTGTGTATTACAATTTTTAGTGTTAATTAAGGAAAAATAGTATTTAGTAAAAATTTATATATATAAATATTTAAAAAATATTATACTATATTAAAATATCTACTTCATATACAAGAATTGAATTTTCTAGATACTAAAAAAATTTGTTATATTATTCATCGATAGGTCGTAGAAAAAAAAAATGGAAAAACAATTTACTTTAAATTTAACATAGAATGAATATATTTTTAAATATATCAATTATTATACATTGATTTTACTAAATTCAAAATTTACTCCCCCAAAAATTGCAAATAATAGTCATTCGCTTGATCGAAACTCCTTTATTTTAATTGTTAAATACGTTTAATGATTTAGCTGGATTGCTGAGCAGAGAAGCTGCAAGAGTGACAGAGGAATTTGTATTATCGATAGGATTGGGAGACGATTTGGTTATGCGACTTAGCGTTGACAGTATGGAAAATTTTCGAACCTCATTGTTAATTACGCTACAGGCATGTAGACTCCCTAAGGTAAATATATCAATTAAAAATAACTATATGTTTAGGTATTTTACAATAAATATAATCAAAACTTCAGAAAACGGATACAATTGAAGTATAAAATTGATAATATTTATTTACAAAACATGGGTATATGCCATTGAATAAGTTGATTGACGTTTATAAAAATTTTGTTTCCAATTATAGTACAGAGTTGTGCTTAATGGATTTGGTTATGTACTATTTGGGGTTCCTGATCGAGATTTAAATAGAACCTGGAGAAATGGCAATACAATTAACTCCATTCCAGGACAATTACCTCTTTTATCTGAAACATCATTCATTCGACAAACGGTATGAAAATTCACTTTTTATAATCTACTATTAATAATCAAAAACATAATACTCTTATTGTATATAACAAACAAATATAACATACAAAAGGATGCAGAGTATTTTAATGGTTATTTTTACAACAATTGTATATATTTATTAAACTAACACTATTTCGATGATAAAATTGATTTTTTTAATTTTATTTTAACCATGACATTAGATGTTTAAATTTAAATATATTGTGCTTAATAAAGAAACAAATTTTTATATAATTTTTTTTTTCTTTTTTTTTTTTTTTTGTTGTTGAAAACTTGAAAGTTTTGCGAAATTTATCTACAAAAGTATCGAATGCTTGCTTCATTATCTATTTAAGAATTACATAATTTTAGGAAACGACTATTTTAGAAAAAGATGTTACAAGAAGGAGATACTCAAAAGTCAGACTTTATACAGCGGGTAGAATACTGCATATTGCTCGATGCAAGTCGGCATCGAAAGAAAAGAAAAGGTTTTCTCGTTTACGTATTTACACTTATGAATATAATCAACGTGCTTATATTAATATTAAATTGGCATATTTCAGGAAGCAAAGTAATAAAGAAAAGAAATTTGAGATGCGATGGGCGCACCCAGAAGAGTTTATGGAATTATCTGTGATGCCTCGTATGCTTTTGGACCATTTGCCAGAGAATGTGGAAGAAGCTCTAGCAACTCTAGTCCAACAACAACAAGATCTGCCTTTCATACTCTGATTCTTTATGAATATATTTAATATGTTTATCAATGATCGTAGATCGATAAATTAAAATGGAATTTTATCATTTGTAGTGAATCGATAATAAAAGTTTGTTAATTGTAATGAAGTTTTGGCCACTTTATTATTGAAGTTAAAAGCCGGATTAGATAAATTGTCGAGGTTTTCATAGTGAATGCTATTCCATACTTATAATTAAATTTCAATAAGACGGTGATTAATAATCAAAATTATTTGGGCATTTGATTTCTATGAATCTTAAATGTTAATTCTTACAACAGTGACAATCTATAATTCTGTTGAATTCTTAAAGCTCCGAAACATTTATTATTACGATTCCTATAAATATATACTGTACTTATAAAAAAAAAATGTAAATTAATGAATGCGTATAAAAAATGAAGCACCAACAATAGATTGATAATAGATGATGAGACGACATTACTTTTATGATACTTATTTTAGAAATCACATCGTAGTAGAATATTTCATAAGACAAAATAGCATTCCTACGATTCTGAAAGCCATCAGAAAAAGTGGCCACCATAATAGAAAATATTTTATTTTGATCGCAAATGTAACACTTCATACGAGGAGCAATATCAATTATAAAATCAGATTTCTCTGCTAAAAAAATTTTTCACTACCAAAATCATATGATATGAATAAAATTAAAAAAAAAAGAAAAAAGGCTGTACGATAAGCAAATATTGTTGTTGATAGATAATTCATAGAAGACATACGCAAGAAACTTCCTTTGAAGAACATATTACAAAAATTTACGAATGGGCAGTTGTTATAATTATTATTAATGTACATAAACGTTGTTTTAATCGTAATTTCTATTTTTAACATTACAATGCTATTCATAAAATAACATAGCATTAATTTTTTTTTTTTTTTGTTGTCATTACTAAAATTAACAATATAAATTAATCTAATTGTATATAAATTTTAATATTTGCTTTGATTATAGGTATCTCGATATACCCATTAAATAATTCTATTTGATAACACGTCGAAGCGGATTTTAGTTTTAATATACTCACAGATGCGTATTCAAATTTTGCCATTATGTACATAATCAGATGAAATATGGCAATAGATGAATTGTTACTTTCAAAATATTTCTACTAAAATCTGAAATATCACATGTAATCACGTACAAATAAAACCTGGTGAAGTGCTGTAAGAAAATTTATCCAAAGAATTACGCGACTCTAAACTTGGAGGGGAGAAATTATCGTCCATGAAATCGTCTTCGTCGCATTCTGTTTTTTTTACTGAGGTGTAGGAATCTGTAGTATTGCCCATAGTGGCCTGACTATTATTATATATAGGCATTATTCTATGATCACTAGATATTAACAAATATGGATCAAATGGAAAAAATGTATCTAATAAATTAAAGAAGCGGTTTGTACTTTGAAGTACTGGTAAACTACTACGTGAATTTCTTTCAATAATTGTGTAACAATAAGCCAACTGATATTTTCTCGTAACAGTGGCAAAATTTTGAATGACTGCTGGTTGACAAACTCTTAACGGATTTAACCTGCATGTGACAATTTTCGTAAGATGAAGCCCTTGCAAGAACAAAAGATCTGAAAGAAACATATTTCGTATTATACATTCATAATTTTCTATTGAATAAAATGTTTTACAAAATATTCTCTAAACTCACTTCTCTTTCCATCTATTATATCCTTATGTCTAAAAGCTAATAAATAAAACATAGCTTGGCATACAGAATAGAAAACTGTGTGTACTCTAACATCACTATTAGCACATTCTAAACTATCTTGTGAACTGATATAACTATGAATCCATGTTGACATTTCTGACAGGACGCCCTGAATTAAGCTGAAATATATAATCTTAATCAATTTCGTTTCATAATAAAAATTTATCACAGTTTTAACAAATTTGAGTTACAAAGTTTTAAATAGTTAATTCCTTTTTATTAAAAAGATTGATTTAATATATTTGAAATAATTAATTATATATGCCTAAGAATACTATACGTGTATACTATAGAATAAAATTATTTTTTAACATCTAACAGAAATGCAATTTAATTTAGTTATAATATCTAACGACTGAATTAACTTCTAGTCTTTGTTAATAAAAATATTATAAGCTTTGGAATAATCCAGTAATTAAACTCACTTAAGTGTTATATAATTTGCTCTTGCTAATAAACTAGCAATGTAGAATACAGCCGATTGCCTTATAATTGGAGCCACATTTGGATTAGATACTTTTAACCACAACCATTTAACAAATGCCTCGGCTATTATTGGTTTGAAACTACAAAGGTAGAACATGATAAACTGAACATGATGACTTGCATGTGTTGGTAAGATTATTCTTTCAAATATATATAATAAGTCATTATAAATGCTTTTTAATATGTCAATTTGTACGTTTAATTCGACATGGCAACATTCATACACATATGCAAGTAGTTGCTCCATACACACATCTAATAATTGTGCATTTGGATGTTTCATCTCTACATTACTAGATTTCTTACTATTATTTTCTGTATTATCATCCAATTTGAAGATTGTTTCATCATCTTGTTCCATTTCCTCATCTTCATATCGTTGAATTTCTGACGGAGGAACACTTACATCCAAAGCTACTAATCTACAAAAAAAGAAAAAATAAAAGATAAAATTATAACTAAAGAATGCTGTATCATAAAATTAATATTATTAATGAATATTTATAAAATACCTGTGTATAATTAATGAAAGTATATCTTTTCTTAATTGTGGAGCATAATTTAATATATAAAGTAAAGCAAATATATATTGTTGTGTTACTATTATCCCTTCTGTAATATGAGGATAGAGAGACGTGAGACTTTGTACAAGTACATCACTTGACCTAGAATTAAATTTGAATTGCATTATATATATATATATACACACACACACGCACACACATATATATATATATAGTGTGTTAAGCAATGAATATAAAGTTTAAAAAAACATACATTGGTATAATTTTTAAAAATTTTCTTAATAAATCGTGTATATGACTAATCTTGTTTCGATAGCTATCAGGACATTGTCCATTTGTCCATTTGGAAGCATCTTCGTAATCTAAATTTAAAAAAAAAAAAACAAAACAAAAGCAAAGAAAAAGATTACAAATAATTTTTATATCGGTAGGTTTATTATTTATAAATATATTAATTTTTGTACTTACTTAATTTAAATTGAAGAACAAGTTTATCTATTACAAGTTTTGAGTGATAGATACACATGCACATTAGGTCTTCAATAAATTTTTTAAAATTAATTATTATTTCTGGAGATCGACTGATCCAATTTATATTAAGTAAAACTTCTATTAGAAGTTTATGAATGGGACCCAGTAGGGACATACACTCTTGAAGATCTTTTAAAAGTTCGAGTAATTCATAGTCCTACAAGGAATAATGAATGAAAATATAGAATATCAAATTTTTAAATACATAATTGCATTGAAATAAATTTTACTATAAATGTAGTTACAAATATTTTCCATAAACTTTTCACTATGTAAAATTCTATTAATTGGATTAAATTCATTTATGTTTCAATTACATTGATAAAAACAATATATATGTTTGAATCAAACATTTATTTAAGAGACCTAAAAGATTAAGATTACCCGAAAAAAATTGAAGGTTCTTATAATCTTTTATAATTATTTGTATTCCAAAGAAAATTAATTTTAGGATTTTATATTGTTGTATACTTATAAAATTGCTATAAAAATCTTTAATTATAATGACTATTATTTTCTTGCAAATTGTATAATTCTTTACAGTTTTTATATATTTTCTTACTTTTTTTTTTATATTAGTATAAATTTGATTTCTTCTTTAGAATCTCAAAGCAATTTTATATTTAAGATTTAAAAACTTATATATACATAATATTTTTACTATTAATCTGCATTAATTTTTGTAAATATATAATAAATATTGAAAAAATTTTTGAATTGGCTTCATGAAATTCATAATTCATTAAATATTATATAAATTAGTAAGTTATACCTTCACATTTGAATCTCGAAGTATACAAATCATATCATGATATGCTTGACGATCACAACCATTTTGATAATTTATTAAAACTGTTTTCAAACTTGTTGGTAATTTAAAGCATATTCTCTTTTGCGAACCAACTAATGCGGATCTTACACCAGATCCTTTCAATATCGATGACACACTACTAACTCTCGACGATACAATTGACATCTTAAAATTCTATAAAATATGTAACAATAAATTATATTTAATAATCAAAAGAACATAAAATTGTTCTTCCACGTTAATGTAATAAAATTTTATCCAAGATATTCAAGTAACTGCCTTATCATTAATTTATGAAAATTATTAGATATAATTATAAAGTAAATTTTGGAAACAATACGTAATTAAGTAGTGGACATTAGTTATGCACAAATACGTATCAGAAAATAAATGGCACGTACACTTCTAACTTATTTATAATTAAAGTTAATATAATTTTAACATTCAAATTAAATATAGGCTAAATAATAATCAGTTTCACGATTATTTTAATTACGAATAAATGAGAAATATAAGTTAGAATAAAAAATTTATTAAATAATGGCCGAGTAATAACGAGATTGCTGACAACGTGCATCTGGTTGGATAATGTTAGGTTATATTTATCTTGAAAAACTTTCTTACGTTTATTTCTGAGATGAAGTGACTATGTAATTAATAAACTATAAAAATTGTTCAACTTTTTATTATTATAAATATTAAAGAAATGAGATTTAATTTTTTTATGTCGATGTTTTTGAAAAAAATTAGGAGTTAAAGCATCGGGCAACATGACCGCATGCTAGACACACGCTGTACACATTCTATATTTTTAATTCCGATTCCCAACAGTTTCACCAATCTCACGGATCTACACGCACGAACTTTACGAAACACCATTTTATTGGACGATTTATACTACGTAGTCTGCAAGTTTGTTTTCTGTTGTGTGTTTAAATTATTTCGGAAAGAAGAAAAAAGACCGTTCAGTCTTAATAAATTGTATACGCACTTTATCGTGGCAAATTTATTCTGCCTTAAAAGGCGTCTTTACATACAGATTTATGTACGTAGAATTACAATTACACTGTCTATTCATTTTATTAATTTTTTTCTTATTAATAGTCCATTGTGTTTACACACGTGTTTAATATAAATGTAATGGTTAAAAGAATTATTAAGCTTCAATTTCTAATTTGCTTGGGTTTGATTAATTTTAGTTTCGTTTATATCAATTTAGTATCCTAATTATTTTTTTAAGAGTTATTAAGGAAATTAAGGAAAAAGTGATAATATTTTTTTCTACCGTATAATATTGATAATAATCAAATGTTTTTTCGATATAAAAGAAAAATCATGCTCTAACATCCAATTGTTTAAGTGAACTGAAAGTGCTTAAACTAACTGTAGTTTATATTAGAAATCTTATACGAGATAAATTTAAAAAATATATACAACTCTTATTGATATATTTTTTTAATAATAAATAAAATTAAGTAGGGCATTTCTTAAGTTCGAATAATCTTCTTCATTAATTGTGAATTTTCATTTGGTAAGTCCGATTATAAAATCAAGATTATTTTAAAGAAAATTAAATAAAGAATCGGAAATAATTAACGTGTGTATATATATATATATATATATATATATATATATATATATATATATATATATACATCTTCCCCTAGTGTCCTCATAAACATTTCGTAGAAAAAAATTATTAAATAAATATTATATTTTATATTAAATCAATAAGAACGCATTAATAAGAATTCTCGTTTTCATTTTTTATCTTGATTTCATTGTTTTTTTATTCAATTACCAAAAAATTAAAATGTTTATAAATTTTTTGTATATCTGCAGACTTACTTAATTTTTTATATAAAATATTTATTAGATTTATTAATAAATAATAAACTATAAGCTGATAGTTTGTCAAAATTATAATTATTTCTAATGATTTATGAATTACAGAAAATTGGATATCTAGAAATAATACGTACATTGTACTTGTAATATTGATATTAGATATAAGCCACTACAACAAAATATCAAAACTACACGTGTGATATTTTTTATCTTATTTCCAACATTATCACATAGCATGTGCAATTACAGAAAATAATTTAGACACAGGCAGTTATAGGAAATTACGATTAAATGAACAAAATAACGAAGTAGATTACATTTTGAAAATTAATTATCCATTACAAAACTAAAGCTCATTTATTGTAAGTACCAAACTCTAAACATTCAAACATACAAATTGCTAATTTAAATAGTATTTCACTTTCAATAAAACATGACTTTGACATGACCAAATCGCTGACGCATATAGAAATAGAAAGGCAGGGAGACACTGCGACGTTCATCGCTTATGATTTTGACATAATACGAGTCGATTTTAGGGTCAAAACTGAAACCTTCGCACATAATCAATTATTGTATAGTGTGGGATTTGTCGATCAGGTACAATTCATTACTCAAAAGTTTCGATCAAATTTGAATTTTTCATTAATGGCTGAACGAACCCTCCACGACATGAAATATGTTAATACCAATTTATGCTTATAGCGATTATAAAGAAAATTCTAAATATAATATATATTTTAAAAAAATCAGTTTTCTTTCTAATGCGTGAGTATTATACGGTATTTCTTGTAATTTTGCAAGATTACACAATGTGTTTCCAACATTAACTAGATAGCGTTAGCAAGGCCTATCAATCGTACGTAGTCTGGTGAGATTATAATCGAAATTATAATCGAAGCCCCGTGAATTATCTCTTATCACCTCATTGCATTTTTTTCATTCATCTATACAAAATGTTTATATTTTTTTCCGTTAATCGTACATAGTTATTCTTGGAATGCTAAAACAGTTACATCCGAGATGGGACAGATGTCGAGAAATATAGCAATACAAAATTCTAATAATAAATTAATATTTCGTATTAAAAATATTTTTTACTAAAATTATAATGCTAATATATTTAGCTATAAAATTTCCTTCATTAATTTATTTTTTATTGTAATTAATATTTATAAAATTCATAAATAGCTAAATTTCCTACAGCAGTATATTATAAATTGAGTTTTTTCTTAATGCACAGAGAAGTCAACGCGAAATATATATATATAAACTATATATTGTACTACTTTCATGATGTATCATATAAATCATACTGATTATTATACTTACATTTGTTGATCAATTTTATTACATAAGCTACCTTTTATTATTTATAGAATACTAATAATTATACAAATAAATCACATGATTTATGACAATATAAAGTAGTAAATATATTTCCCTTATAAGTTTGGAAATTTGTAATTTATATCAACTTATATTTTATATATTTTAAATAGATGTTACAAGGATAACAAATTTAATATTATAATAAAACAATATTTATTCATTATATTATATTCATTTTGTGACTATCTTAATGTATTATAAAAAAAGTCTGTTCTTAAAATATAACAAATTATAAATTTGGTAAGATCTCTTAATTAGTGAGCTGTATTATAGATGATGAAATCTACTGCCAAAGTAAGCTGAAATTTTTAAATATATTGCATTAATAATAATAAACAATAAGTTTGAAAATTAAAGTATTATAATAAAAAATTCCTATTATTTTAAAAGAAACTTACTTCATAAATGTGAGTTCTGGCATACCAGGATCTGCACCTTTACGAAATCCTGAAATTATGTAAAAATTATTAATTGTCAAAAATATCAATTATTATTCCAATTAATGATTATTTAACATTCTGTAAACTAACCTAAATATAGCACAGCGGGTATAAATCCCCATTGAAATACACTCTTAGAAATATTAATTACGATACCAATTTTTTGTTTAGTATTCTGGGTTAGCATCATTTTTTCAATTATTATTTTAACAGCAATTTTTAAGTAATAAAAGGCACTTTATATACACATGTGATCCAGAAGATTAATTCACCGGACGCAGATTAACTGTATAGTATTCATTACGAATGTATATGGAGAATTTTATGTTGGTAGTATTCCCATAGTAACGAAACATCTCTAGAAATCATAGTAACATTTTATTGTAATTTGGAGTGTGTAGTACGAAGCAAAAGATCAATCCATTTTAATAATAGAAAACGCCAATAATTAATATTGATTTAAATTACAGAAATATCTTATATATTAAAGGACGCTGTAAAATATTATAAACTTTTATAAACAACTAATTATTAGTTATTTCAGAAATAACACTTGGCAAAAATTTAACTATTTAAAATAAAATTGAATGCATAAAATTTTAGAATACATAAGTATCATTCAAATGCTATGTTAATTCTTATAAAATATTTATGAAATACAATATTTTTCCATAATTTATAATTCAATGGAAATTATTAATTAATTTATGAAGTCTCATCAGTGCACATCATTTTTCAATGCCGATTTTCTATGTACGAAAATTTATCTCGTATATGAATCTGTCATAGTAAAATAGTCTTTATAATATAAATATTTGTTTATCATTTACTTATTCATAATAATAAGTTTTTACAGGCGTAAATGGAATAAATTGCAAGAATAAGGCGCAAATTCTCGTTTTGTTCCTTGTCCATCTTGGTATTCGGAACATCTAAGCTTCGAAAATTGTAGATTATTTTTTATTGATTGTGATTGATTGATTTTCTAAATGAAGTATTTATTGCAGCTTAGTATCAAAATATTTGAAATGTCGTTTTATTCTGGTTAAGCTTTTGTTTCATTTGTTGTTTGTGAAAACATGCTTACATACTAATTCAAATATACGCACAAAGTTCTCATTATAAATCGTCACAAGCTTATTACATATTTTGGAAATATATTTGTTTATTTTCAATAAAAATAAGTAAAAAAGTAAAGAACGTTCTGAAAAACAAAAGTTATAAAAGTATTGCACATTTTAACTGTGCACTTAGAATCTTACAAAGTCCATAAATTCTTTGTCTAATATTCCCATTTCCAATGTGTCTCAAGGTCATATTTCTAATTTCTACTTTTTGGAACTGAAACGTGGAATACGTAAGGAGCAAAGTATTTTTATTGTAGTTGACATTTATTATTGATGTTCTTTTTATGTGACAATGGCTGATCCTACAAGAAGAATTATTTTTATAATTTTATATTTGATATATGAAACAAAATTGGTATGTAATATTATTAAAAATAATTTTTTGAAATACATAATATCCACTATTGCAAAAAATGTTTGAATGTGATAGGTTATAAAGTATCAGTTTTTTTACAATTGTTACATTTTCAATACACTTGTGTAATATAAAATTTTCTTTGTTTACTTCAGATATCAGCTCATTATTGTATTTGGGGTTCATGTATGCCGGATGAAGAGTGCTGTGCACCTCATAAATGCTGTCCTAAACCATTAACATTTCATTCGAATGAAACTTTATATATAATGTAACTATACATATTTGTATATATTTTTATACAAATAATAATAAGTAATACTTTATTTGTAATTATTAAATTTTCATTTCAATACAGGGCTTGGATATTAGCTGGATTAATGATTGTACTTTCGTGTGGTGGTTTATTCAAGTATAAAAACCAATTATGTCGAATGTTTACCAGTCAATCAGGAGATAAAATTCCCTTTGCTGCATGATCATTGTTTAGTTGATAGAATATTATTATTAAACGTATCGAATCATTTAAATGTATTGAAAAGAATGATCTTTTAATGACTGTTATTAATTGAGAGCATCATAATTGAATAATTACAGTTTTCTCACTATAATTGCTGTATATGCACAAATTAAATCATTATATAATGCTTATAATGAAATTTCTGTGATTTATTAAATAAGATACCATTATATTTTTCAAAATAATGTTCATATTAAGAATGATTGTGCTGAATACAAAAATTTATAAAAGTTTTATAAATTGTAGGTAAACATTTTAATAATAGCTATATAAATAAATTTGTAGTTATAATGAAATGTTATAGAAATATATGTAAAAAAATAATGTACTACTTTTAATACTTTTGACGTTTACTTTTCTCAAAAATAAATATGTCATGTAAATATTGTAATAAGATATAATAAAAATAATTTACTTTTTATAAAATAAGGCATTTGCTTATTCATTTGTTATTCAATTTAAATAAAAATGTTTTTGCAATTATTTTTAAATCAACATTATGTACATAAATTTTAAAATACATTATCCGTCTTTCATTTCAAATATATATAATACGATTTGCCCAGCGAGTAATATTTCAATTATAAATTTGTAGTGGCTCACCTGCTTCTGACGTCATATGGAGCTCCGAAATTTGAAAATCAATAATTGTCGTTCATACTAGTAGGTGGATATGACAGTTTAAGAAGGAAATGGCTGTCATGCCAAAATATAGTGTTAATTACGCACCGTCTGTGATCCATTAAGTTATTAAGGAATAAATTTACGTCTTTGAAAAGTATGTCGCGAAGCACTAAGTGGAAATTTGCAGTGGTTGCTGGAATTTCCCAGTATTTAGTTTACGTATGTGTTAATATATCCTCAATTGATGTTTAGATTATGTATTTTCTTATGTTGAAATTCTTATTCTCGATAAATACTAATACAAATATTACTAATGCAAATATAGAAATAAATCTTATATCAAATATGTTTTTATTTCCATTACATTATTATCTTTTATATTTAAATTACTTTAAACAATTTATATACATTACTTCAGTATCAACAAATTTTTTTAATTACATTTAAATTGTATTTTAATGAATTGTAAAAAATGAGTGAATACGTATAATATATGTAAGTTAGTTATATCTTATTAATATATTAAATTGATCTAACTCGTAGATTTGTAATTAAATCAGGCAAATACTTTGTCGTTATTACACTATCATATATCATGTATAGATTGATGTAAAATTACTAAAATACATCTTAATAGCATTAATGAAATTATATTTTAGGCAGAAGCAAAATATTGTGCCTTTGAAATACATGGAGAACCAAAGTACTATATGTAAGTCACCTTATCATGTTTAAAAACCTTTTAAATAAAATACAAATTTTATATTTTTTTCACAGGTGTCCAAGGACCGAATATTGTTGCAACTTTGGCTGTTGCGTATCACCAGGGTTTCAAATTTACCATCTGTGGTATTATTGGTAATAGTATAATATTTAAAATAAACATAGTTTGCAATGAATTTTTAAATTGGTTTAAATTTATAATTATAATTCCAGGTTATTAGTAATAATTATGTTTTTGGTATGCTCTGGTGGTGGTTGGTGGTATCGATATTGGCTGCAAGGAAGATATAGAGCAGCAGCATCTTCCATACCCACAAGACCTTCTAATTCAAGAACACAAAATTCTCTTCGAGGTCCAACGTGTCAAGCACAGCAAGCTCGAATTACATACAATACGGCAAGGAATACCGTTCTTTTACACAGAATGTGGAAAGGTCTGTAATAAAAAACTGTTCTATAACAAATTAGTCGCGTAGATGGCTTTATTTAATCAGTAGTAAATTTTATTTGTTTGTATGCATCATCATTCAATAATGCTAAAATTCATGTTTATGGCAATAATAATCTTTCTATTTGGGTATTCGTAATTAAAAGAGTTTATAGTAAACCATTTTAATAAGTAAACTTCATTTTAATTTATTTAATGAAAAGTAATTTATAAATATATATAATATATGACATGTTTTAATAATCATATTTATTCATTTTTGGCTTTTTCGCAAATTATATTATAAATTACAGTAAATCAATTGTTTATATTCATATTGAATTAGCCATACATGTTACAAATATCTTGATAATTAAAAAAATGTTTCTTAACTTTATAAAGTAAAGTGATAACTCGTTAATTGAAAACCATGATTTTCAATTAGATTTCTAACGGATTATAAATATTTTAAATTAATCGGTGGAAAAATATACTAAATTAAGTATACACTTCAAAATTATAACGATAACTTATTTTTAATCAAATAAAAAGTGTTATCTTCATTTTTTACAAGCGATAAGTTTCTCTATTACAGAATATTGAAAAAGTACAATATTTTTGAATATTTATTCTCTTACATAGTTATAACTCTTATTTATTGTATTATTTTAGGACCTCACAGGAATGCAAATTCAACAGTTTATAACGGAGCTTCAGCTACAAGTTCAACTACCCACTATCAAAATACAAGTGTCGTACTGAATGATACTAACTGCCCATATTATCAGTTATATGGACCTCCACCAAGTTACGAAACTGTAATTGCACAGACACGGAACAAGTTTTCGACTCCCTCGTCACCAGAGCTGTTGCAATCGAATCAGAATCATCGATCATCATTGCCAACGTCTAGTGATACGTCGGGGTTTGCTGCACAGTGCTTTTATAATGTGCCGAGTAGATTGCCTACAGGATTAGAAGTACCTCATTATGGACCTCAAAGACTGGAGAGCTTTGATACTACTGAATATGTTAGACTTGCATCTCAATATGGATCTGGGCAAGGAAATGAAGCTTCACATTTCACTCGAGGATTTGTTTATGAAAGATCTAGTGGCGCAAATGCTGCTCAATCCCCAACTGACTGTGAGAGGGAGGGAAGTACCAGTGTAAATACCAATTTAGCTAATAGTCCGGATGATGGTGGATTTTTAATTGCAAGGATGGATTGTTTGAATAATTCTTGCGTTTTAGATCGCTCATTACAGTGTCACACCTCTACTGGAAACTTTACTGGAATTGGGTAAATCAACGAAATCATAAAAGCGATTGAAATATAAATTATTAAAAAAGCTTGATAATATGTAATAAAACGAAATTTTTAATTGGTTTTTAATTAATAATTGACAAATTCGAAAACATTGTTAAATAAGAAAATTATAATATATAATATTATAGTAATATCAAATTTATAATATAATATTATACAAATATACAATATTATACATATTGTACGTAAAAGCACTTGAGGTTAGATTTTTTGTAATAGTTCAAAAACTCAACAAAATATAAATATAACACTTACTTATAAATAATGTTTAATAGTTTTTATATAAATTATTTGAATTATTCTTTGTACAGAATAATCTTTCATTATGCGTACGTGAATATGGCAAATTCTACAAAATATGATTCTTCTTTTTTATAAAAATAATAATGTGATAAAGATAATAATATTAATTGAGATAATTTTTCAATACTATTATAAATAATTGTGTAACATCTTGTTATTTTTTACTCTCTTTTGTTCGTAAGATAATACTTATTCTATTCATTTTAATTACTCAGTACAGCTATATATTGTTATTCTACATTTCAGATTTAATAATTTGGTTCGTAGATATAAAAAGATAATAAACTATCCCATACCTATAAGTAAAACAACCAAGTCAGTCTTTCTACGTATACATTAATATTTACCATACGTAATGTAATATTAAAAAAATATAATCTTCGTCTAAAATATGTATGGAAGGATGTATTTTCTTAGAGAGCCATAAATATAATATAATATTGCATTGGGGATATTTCTTCTTAATGCGACTTTAAAAATAACATAAAGTAGTTTAATTCTTTATAAGAGTTACTTTATAAAATACGTAAAAAAAATACTAAATATGCAGAGAAATAAAATATAATAAGAAATAAAATAAATTAATTTTTACTATTGAATTGTAATGTAGCTTAAAAAAAATTTTTAGTGTTCATGGAATTTCGCGAGGGGAATATAAGCAATTTAATGCGCCAAATTCTTCAGTGTCTGAATTGACATCCGAGCCAGTTGCCACGACTTCTTCAACATTTGGTTTTGAAAGATGTCCATCTTCGTCACAGAGATCGTCTAAACGTCCAGAGCCGCGGAATATTCAAGGTGGTTCCCTTAAAATAACCAAGAGACGAGGGCAACAAATTAAGTACCATGAAGCGTTTCGAGCAAACCGAAGGCTCAGCTCTGTCGACTACGAGTCTCCATCGACGAGTCGACAACATCCAGACGAGTCAACGCGCATAGACTCTCAATTTAATCCATCCAGCAATGTGATATTTGCGATCAACCCCGATGTCGACTCTACCGATCAACGACACGGCTATCGTCACCAGTATAATCAACAACAGCAACGCTCTTTCGCACTTTTAAATGCTGAACAAAGTAGTACAAATTCTAATTTTGAAAGTAAACCCAAACTAGATAGATCGAGGTCGCTTGATTAAATGAGAGACTTCAATCTTCTGAACGACGAATTGCTGAGCGAAGGTACTTTGTAAGGATCTTCAGAATCCCGCAACAAAAATTTGTCAGGTATTGGGAAGCGAATCATCAAAATAGAGAATTATATTCTGTCAAATTCTATAGCTTGCAAAAGTATTTATTTATCCATATATTTGCATCTAGAGCTGTCATTCCATTTATTCGTTATAAATTTTTTTTAGAAATTAATTTTATTATATGGCTTTTATATTACTAAACTTTAAATTATTTCATATTTTGTATTAAAAATTTATTGAGATTTATTATATATATTTAATTTAAGATAATTTTTATAAGGATCCATTATACATTTTAACTAATTAAAAGAAAAACATATACTTTCTGTAATTGTTAAGTTAATTTTTAATGACTGAGGTAAATATTATTAAAAATTCTGCGAAAAATTAGAGATTCTAAATGGTGTCGAAATAATTAATTTTAACCAGCGTTAAAAAATGTTATATTTTTCTAAGATTAATAAAAACAAATTTTATTTTAATGATAGTAAAAATTTTTAACGTCTACGTTTCTTCATGAATGTTACATGAGATAAAAAGGGAATATTATATAAAATGCTATTTGCACCATTTTAAATAATTAATTCAAATGAAATTTTGAAAAAGAAATTCGTTTAATCAACTTATTTTAAAATGATAACAAATAATTGCACAAAATTCTTAGAATGTTTATAAAAAGAATTTATGAATTTGGTCAAATACTTGGTAATAATTGATTGTGCGATTTAATCAATTTACGGTACATTAAATAAAATATTTGAATTAATAATTTAAAAAATTAATTACTCTTATAATAGCGAAACATTAAAAATGTTAATAATCTTTGCATTGCCCAAATAAATAAATAATTTATTTATTTCGTATTTTGAAGTAACTGAATCGTCCAATATCTATTAATCATTAAGTACTAAGTGTTACATGAGAGTCGATTAAATTAAGATATTCTAGAAAATAGTTAAGACTTTACAGTAAATTTTACATTGAGATGATTTCATTTTAAAACGTCTTAAAATACTCGCATAAAATACAATCACTTATTATGTAACATTTCAATAAGGTACTGTTTAGAAATTAATTTAACTTTAATTTATACATAAATTTAATGATATTTATACTTAAAGTTTTGTAATCACGTGAATTACTATAATATGCTTGTAGATTATAAATTGATAATTATGAAAAGTGATGTTAATTTTAATTAAAAATAATTGTAATCAATTTATCAACAAATCTACAGATGATACTACAAATCATTAATACAATTATCAATAATTAATCAGACTCATTTAATAATTTTGCTATTTGAATATTATTAAGAAACTTTTTTTCTTATACTGTAATTTTATATTTTTATAAAAGATTTTAGGTACTATTTTTTAAGTAAATGCATAAAGTATTTTTCATGAATTTTTTATAATTTATTTTATTCATTATATTACTCAATTTCTTAACAATTATAAATATCTATTATAGTTTTATTAATTAATTTATAATTTTAATGAATAATGAATTAAATTAATTAAAAACTTCCTTTTACATCGGGTAAATATTTTATTAAATCACATTAGAATTGAAAGTACTTAACAAATATTGTATATACAAATATCATAGTGACAACAGTATTATATTATTTTTAATTTCTCATTTTTTGGAGTGTCTGATACACTCCACGAACCAAATCATTAATGTACGCGTCTCGATAAATACATTTCTTTGTCAATATTAAGTGGACTTACGCACAACTATCTTATATATGCGCACATAAATATATTCAGATACGAAATATAATTTTTTTTTTATTTATCCTGCATATATAGAGATATATAAATAAATAAATAAATAAATAAATAAATAAATCTATTTTTAACGTTTAATGTACTTAATGTAAAACTACATTAATAGTAATCAAGTAACCGCGCGGACACTAAGTTATTTTCTTTATTACAAATTTAGTCTGCTCGTTTTAATGCATAGAATTTTTTCTAAGACATAAATATATTATTATATAAATGAAGGAATGTCAAATCCTCCCTATAAGGATAAATAACGATAAGTAGTTTATATTTAAATATTCGAATAAAAAAATAGAATTGCGTTTGAATGTTGCATAATAATAATTCAAGTATTTAGCTCGATTTGCAAAAATTGGCATAATAATTGAGAGCGAAAGAGTGCAATTATGTCCATAAGAATGTATATAGAGTGAAATTTGTTGAAACTAGAAAGTTTTACTAAAAAAAAAAAAAAAAAAAAAAAAAAAAAAAAAAAAGGATGTCACAGTTGAGCTTCAATTTGTTTTAGTAAAGAAATGTTAACGAGGTGTACTTGCACTCTGACTAAATAAGAAACTTTGATAATCACATGTCCAAGAATGAATAATTTTCTTATAATTTTCAAATAAATTATCTATGTTTAGTTATTTTTATTGCTTTGTGACCAATATTAATTCTAGAATAAAATCTGTAGGGAAGTTGGTCGATGAAAAAACAAGACATTTTTTAAATAAAATATTTAAAAATATTTCACAAGAAAAAGACAAAGTTTTTTAAGACAAACCGTGTTATGTTAACAATTAAATGCGTTTTTTGCGCACAGTTATATAAACGTTAAAATAAAATATTTGTTTTCTATATTGCCATATCATTGTACGTCTAAGATTTAAATGAACTTTTCATTATTACATTAGAAAACTTATTTACATTATGATATGAATTGTATAATTTTTTAAATTAGAATGATCTGTGAGATAAAATAGGATAAGAATAAGAAAATACAAAAATACCAAATGTCGAGATGAAAATGAACATCAGATATTGTTGTTTAGCTTTGTAGTTTAATGGAGACTCGATATTTCGTTCCTTCTTACAACTCGAAATAGCGGTCCAAAGTGTATGTGCCAATAGTTGAAAATGAAGTAATATAAATCAACATTATAATGGGAATGATATTTCAATGTGATGGAGCATATAATATTTGAAAGTGATATGCTCGTATATTTACCGAACCGAAGGTTTTTAAAAAGTGCATGTATGCATATAATTATTTTTTGTAATTCACGATCTTTCATTGCAAGTCATGTTTGAAAATGTTGGCTGTATAGAAATTATGTAATCTAACATTATAAAGCAATGCCAAAAATTACACATCCAAATATTTGAAGCTAAAGAAACGTTAATTTAAACACATCCATTAATGATAGTAAAAATTTCTTCATATATAGCTATATTAAATTTTTAACTGATTAATTATATAATTAGTAATAAATAATTAGTAAAATTATTTATCAACTTCTGACTTATCAATAATTGTGGATACTATGATTTTCATTCATTCTATAAAAATTCATAAAGTGTTAGAATGTAGTTTTGCTGTGATACTTTAATAAGGAGCTTCAAATTACAATGATCTATATAAAGTAATGTGTGATAATTTACATAATATATTCAAAAATTTTAATTGTCATTGTCTAAAAGATATTAAATAATATAAAAATTTCAAAAACTCTCGTTCACTATTTTGAGAGTCCAATGACTTGATTTGGGAGGATCAATGGCTCAAAATAAAAAAAAAAAATGCTCTTTTACATTGTGTAATGTGCAATCATTTAAATTAATAAGAAGTGACATTGTACAAAATATTGTATCTAATACAAATATTGTCTTACTACAAATAAATAAATAAGATATTTATTCACTTTAAAAAGAAGAATTTAATATTTTTTCAACATCCACTTTTTTCTGTAAACATTTTCTGTAATTTATATTTCTGCTATTTCTAATTCAGAATTATTCAAATTAAATACCATCTATCAAATGTAATTATGGATAGACAATACTAAAAATATATCTTATTGACTTCCGTAATCCTGTTTTTCTATTTTTTTATTTGACAAATATTTTTGATTACACATATTTCCAATTTTATATTTTATTATGTTATTGAAATTTTATTTTGTAAAAAATTTGTAAAATTCTATTGCTTATTATGACTTGGAGTTATAAATAAACATAATTATATTTTTTACAGTTTATGTTTTATTCGGAAATTCATTGTAATAAAAAGATAATTTAGAATTGATTAATTTTTCATTGATATATATTATAAATTTCTCTATATTTATTAATTAATATAGAGGTGTATAATCTAAACAGTATTTTAAAAATATCATAAATTAATTGAGATTTTATAGACGTATATTTATATTTCATTTGTTGACATAATCAATTTGTAAAAAGCTTTTAATTCACAAAGAACCTTGAATTGTAAAAATAATATTCATGAATTTCTGATAATAAATTTGTTGTGTTCATGTACTGTTTAATTATTTCAGTTATGCTCGTTCGGTATAACTATATTATGATGGAATATTTAAATGCATATCTTGAGTATTATTTTGTTGTTTTTCAATTTATATTTGGGGCTTAAAAATTGATCACACTTATCAAAATCGTAATAAAAAAAATCGAATTTTATTATATATTGCTAATTTTCTAAATAAACTACTTATCTCATCTTTATCAAAATTTAATTGTATTCTTTTTAGTTTACATTACAGATAAATACACGAAAATTCATCTCATCAAACGACTCTGATAATATTTAGGAAAAAAGAGAACTAGAGGTCCTTAATATACCATAATATTTTTTGGTTTTTAATTATATATATATATATATATATATATATATATATATATATATATATTTTTTTTTTTTCATTTTCCTCACAAGTTTATCATATTTTTCATTGAAATAATATTTCTCCACAGAAATATATGATTTTTTCTTTAATTTGGAATATAAAGTTGTAGGTGCTGTACATTCATTTGAATAATTGAAACTTGGCACTTTAATTCATTGGGGAGTTGATATTCAAAACATCAATTCCTCCCCCGCACGGGATTACGTGGTTATGGCACGTAGCTACAAATACACACGCGCACACGTTCCTCTGCATAAAATCAATAAAGGAACTGGCAGAAGGGGCGAAACATCCCTGCGACCGAACGCCGCAAG